TTTTGTTGGTTGGTGGGTGTGGTGTGTGTGTGTGTGTGTGTGTGTGTGTGTGTGTGTGTGTGCCCTCGATCACACACACATGGAAGCCAATGGTCAACCTCAGGTGTGGTGTGGTTCCTCAGGAGCCATCCACCTTGACTTTTGTTGTTTTCACGTAGGTCCTTATTCTCACACGGCAAGCACACTGCCAACTCTCTCTCCACCATCCCTTAATGGGCACTTTGGGGGTAGTGTGTGTGCTGTGGCCTATTGCCACCTCAAGGGCCTAGACCCCAACCAGATGGGAGCCAATGTCTGTGGAGGACCCAGTGGGCACTGAGAATGGCTAGGGAACACAAAGCCACAGGAAACACTCCAGCTTCTAGAAATGTCTTCAGGCCTGAGAGTTCCACTGCAGCCCCCAGCAACAGTTGTGCCGCTGGGACCCGGGGCTGCATTTCCTTTGTGGCCTCATGGCTGATCCTATGATGAGTTTCTGGCTCTTCTGGGACAGCACCAGAGCTCAGCAGAGGAACAGCTGTCACAGCAGCAGGCAGAGGGCCACTAAGCACCTGCTTCCTGGAAATTCTCAGTGGTGGGCTTGCCCATTCCAGACTCTTGGCTCCAGGCCTGGGACACTGGAGGGGACCCTGCCCCCACTTGTCTGGGTCTGACATCTCTCTCAGCCTAGCCTGGACTTGTGAATTTAACTCACCATCAGCTAGAGCAGGTAGAGGGCTTTCACTGAGCTATTAGATGCCCACTTGGAAGCCACTTGACTCCTGCACCTTCCGCTCCCAGACCCCACTGTCCTGCTGCAGCAAAGCTGGCTTCCTAAGCAACTTGGTTTTGGCCTGTGTGATCTGATGGGACTTCTCTTGTGATGTATGCACACATGCACACACACACACACACACACACACACACACACAAAACCACAAAACCCACGGTCCTTGCACATAATACTCAGGAGCTGATTCCACGATCAAAGCCAAACCCTGACACAGGCACCGCCCATGAGCGACCTGGGTGGAGAGTGCCAGAGAACCCACGATGCAACTTCCTGCTTTAGTGTCTCAGCCTCAAGGGCAGATAGGGCACACCAACATACTGGCAATGTAAAGAACCCAGAGAAGCCATGCCTAAGGCCCAGATGGGTGAAGGGGGGCTTCCTGTACCTCGTAGCACTACAGAGGCCACACCCACTCCGAGGAGCCTGCCAGTGAAGAAAGTCCCTTTTGGAACCTGCTTTTCTACGGCACAGCTTCTGGGAAGCAAGGTGGGAGAAAGGTGTTTTCTGCCTAAGGACCCTGGATGGAGGGTGTGCCACAAGCTCAGAACTTCCTTAATAACTGACAACTACTGCTCTGGCTGAATGTGCAGTGGTCTGTGACTCAGGCCAGGAGTTGAGTCTTGGCTCTGCCTCTTCTAAGACATGAGGTCTGCCAGTTCACATCCCTCCCATACACACACACACACACACTCCCTGCTTCCTTATCCATAAGATGGGAAAGCCCCAGGACCATCTTGTTGGGTTCACTCTGGCATCAGAGCCCAACTGGCTCATTCACACTGGCTGGTAGGCAGTGCCCAAGAGCCCCTTTCCACTAGGGTTTCATTCAAGTGTGCGCAAATGACCTTGCACCAGGAGTCCATTGTCAGGACACAGAGTCACTCACTCCAGAAGCCTTGGGTCACCAAACTTTCCATACAAATGTTCCAATGGGGAGGCAGCTTCCTCCTGGTATACCAGACCCACTGGTCTCTTCACTAGCTAGCGAAGGGATGGGCACATAGTCGTGTGACCAGCCTTGTCCTGTATGTTTCTACATAGGGAGATGGCAGATTCATGAGTGACTCAAATAAGGACCTGACCTAAACACTTGTCACCCTTGATATACAGTTCTACTTATTCTTAAAAAAAAAAATTAAGTTGGAGGGCTAGGTGTGGTGGTCCACACCTTTAATCTCAGCTCTCAGGAGACAGAGGCAGAGGCAGGGGGATTGTTATGACTTTCAGACCAGTTTGGATTAGTGGTAGCCATTTCCAGTCCAATCAGGGATATATAATGATACCCTATATAAAAATAAATAAATAAATATATAAAGCTGGGACTAGGGAGAGGGCTCTGTTGCCTGCACAAGCCGAAGGACTAGAGGGTGATTCCTAGAACCCATGTAAAAGCCACACACAATGGTGTAAGCCTGTGACCCCAGCACTGGGGTCACTAAGGCCTGCTTGGGCAACCAATCCAACCTACTGGTGAGTTCCAGGTTCACCAAGACTGTCTCAAAAATAAGGTAGAGAGCCCCCAGAAGACATTGATCTCTGGTCTCCACACAGAAACATGTGCACATACATGAGTGCATATGTGCACATACACACACTCACACTCACACACACACACACACACACACACACACAGAGAGAGAGAGAGAGAGAGAGAGAGAGAGAGAGAGAGAGAGAGAAGCAAAGCTGTCCCCAAGTCAACTCTTGTCCTGGGACACCTGTCAGGAATATATTTCTGCAATCCTAGAGCCAGTCCCAATAGAGACAGGACCGTGAGAAAGAGTGGGTTGAGTCTGTGTCTTCCAGCACTTAGCTCGGGAACCACAGCCACACAGCATCTTCCCAAATATGCTCACCCTGGCCAGCCACAGTGACCCTGAGACCCCATTTAACCATCATCAGAGCCAGGGATGCTTTAAAATTAATTTTATTTCTCTTTATATCTTTTAAACTTTTTGTTAAAAAAAAAAAAAGGTTCATTTGACATTGTCTTCAAGAGTCTCGCGCCTGCTGGTAAGTGCACACATGGGCTGTGTTCACAGTATCTCCACGACCAAGTACAGTTGGTGCTTATTGCTAGAAAGGGTGAGTGTCTGTGCCTGGGAAGGCATGGGCTTGAGGGACAGCAGGAGAAGGATGGGGACCCCAGAAAGCCTGGGGCCTGTCTGCAACAGGAGGCAATGGGCTGAGAGAGCCAGCCCAACAGAACCTCTCTGGAGTGCCCCCAGCCCTGTCTCGGGCCAGCAGGAGGGTAGAGAGAAAGGGGAGCCAGAGAAGCCAGGTGGGCAAAGCCAGGCATGCAGTGTGGAGGGATCTCAGGAATTACTAGAGCAGTTCAGGCCACCCTTAATACCATTCCTATTCCCCAGCCCCACATCCAGGAAGACACCCTTAGTGACCACCCAGCTCAGGACAAAGGCTAGTAGCCTCCACCCTTGCCAGGGCCCATCTTCTTTCTTCAGGGCAAGGAAGTCCTAAGAGTAGAGGGGGCCTTTCCCCAAGGGCCTGTCTTGTCCGAGAGTGCGGGGCTGGGACCCTATGGCTCTTCAGCTAAGGTGACAGCCTCCACACACACAAAGGACAGACTCCAGGGGAGGTGCAGCCATGACAAGTGGCTCTCCAGCACCCACTGTGCCATCTGCTCAGCTCACTGTACTCCAGGTGACTGCAGTCCCCAGCTCTAGTGGCCTGAGAGTGACCGGACATTAAGCACCCCTAAAGGAAATACATCACAGGTGCAGGAAGAGCTGGGATCTAGCCGTGCCCTCCCAAACTGTTACCACAACTCCTCTACAAGTGGCTCAGCAGCAGCAAAAACATGTACTTTTCTTGTATGACGATTTTCTGTGCTTATTATTGGTTGGAATCTAGTAATACAGCTGCTGACATGCTTGAAGCGATGTCCCTCAAGCAGGCAAAGCAGACACTTCTAGAAACCTTGGCTTCACTCAGGGCCAAGTTCCAGGGCTACAGAAGGCAGACCCCAAGACTGGCTACCATGCATGTGTCAAACCAGTTTCACAATGGCCTGCTACCTCCCAAGCATGGAACTCTGCAGCCCTGGGCCTGGTCTTCCTTCTTCAGCAAGAAAACAGGTCAGCCAACTGCTGCTCCCCAGACCTCCCCACCCCAGGAGCACCTATGATGGGGAGGGGAGGGGGCTCAAGCACCCTCCAACTGGCACTCAGAGCCTACCTATCCGCAGCCCACCCCCAGAGAATCTGGGAGCCGCTTCCCCTGAGAATGAACCAGAAGCCCCTGTCGAGGCTTCTTTACAGTGTGCTAGCGGATGGGCAGCCTGGGGCACTGGAACCCCAGATTCAAGTGTGACAACGCAAGTCAGGAGGGAAGGGCACAGCTTCTTTACCTTAAAACAGCTGGGACTGGCCGGGCTGTGGTGGCACACGCCTTTAATCCCAGCACTCAGCAGGTGGATCTCTGTGAGTTCGAGGCCAGCCTGGTCTACAAAGCTACACAGAAAAACCCTGTCTCGAAAAACCAAAGAAAGAAAGAAAGAAAGAAAGAAAGAAAGAAAGAAAGAAAGAAAGAAAGAAAGAAAGAAAGAAAGAAGGAAAGGAAAGGAAAAAAAACCCAGCTGGGTCTGTTGGGATGTAGTGGCAATGTCCCCACCCCTACCCCACCCCTTCGGGCATTTGGGACCAAGGTAAATGGAAGAGAAATAGCCACATACCTAGGGGCAGGTTCTGGAGACAGCAAAGTGAAAGTCCCCAGCCCTGACCTAACACTTTGGGATCTGCCCCTCCCTTCTCCCAGGATTCCCCCACCAGGCGAGTTAAGGCTACTGAGGAGACAGTAGGGGTCAAGGATCTATGCCCAGCTGGCACACTCCCCTGGCAGGTATTAGGGAGGGGCTCTACTGGGGTGGGGTAGGGACTCCAGGTAGAGTCTGTAGTTTTGATTCTGCCAAAACAACATAATAAAATAGCTGGCTTTAGACTTCAGTCCCCACTCCTGCCCCTCATCAACACACCCAGGAAGAGGGGCTCAGGTGGGCCTCCCTCTGGGCCTGCCCCTCTCTCCACCTCTGGCAGGAGGAGGCAGGGCCTGCAGGGAAGAGACCCGTGATCTTTCACTTCCTCTTCTTTAAATTCAGCTTAAGGCAAAAGTTTGGCAAAGCGAGTCTACATAAGGCCGCATGGCAGAGGACAGATAGAGGGGAGGCAGGAGGGACAGGTTGGGTCCCCTCACAGTCAGCCTCCTTCCCTGCCTCTGAACCCCATAGAGAGAGGGGAGGGGAAGCGGTGAACAAGTGATTGGGGGGGAGATCAGGGGTGACCTGGGGGAAGGGGGGCACCTGTTTGTCCTAGTGGTCCCCCCTCCCTTCGGGGTAGCAGATGGAAGAGCCAGGAGGCCAGCAGGGTATTAGCACAGTGAGATCCGCCCCTGGAGAAGGTAGAATGGTTGTATTTTTCTGAATGACCGGAGAGGGCATCTGGGTTTCCTTCTGAGCAGTAATATTGTTCCGTGAGTCTCACCTCGCAGCGACCTGGCTGTTACCGGTGCTTGGGCGGGATCACCACCAGCGGTTGCCCATACTTGGGCCGCCACATGAGGACCTGAGCATCGTTGGCATTGGGCTTGACCAGGGCGCTGGGCGGGATGGGCTCGTTTTTGCTCAGGATTTTAGGCTGATCCTGGGCAATGGGCTCCCGCAGCCTGGCTCGCTGGCCCAGGGGCCGGTTGGGATTCACCTCAATGCTGAGCTGCATGCGCCAGTGCAGGGTCTGCAGGATGATCATGTCATTGGTCGAAGTGTTGGTGGCCACCAGCCATGTGGTGAAGCTCTGGTCCCGGTAGATGTTGGTCAGTTTGGCCACGTTACTCTCACTGACGGGCACGGCCCACGTGACACTCGGGTAAAAGTTGTCGTTCATGCTGATGATGAACTTGGAGTCTCTCTTGGTGGGGCCCACAATGGTGCAGGTCTCGGTGGTATTGCCATACCAGGGGTAGTTCACCCCATCCGAGTCACTGATGGCTTCAATTTTGCCCTCCTGGAGATCAGGGAGCTCCCAGCTAGACCTGGGGGACAAAGAAGGCCGGGTTACTTTCTCAGTACTCAGTTAGGCTTTTCTGCATTCTCAGGTTGGGTCAGATGCTGCGCTGGACCTTGTGGACAGAAGGTAACTCAGCAGCCCCAGCTCCCTTTGCTCATGGGGCAGAGCAGACAACAAAACAGGACAATCCACACTGGGCAGTCAGAGTCCACTCCCAGCCCCCTTCAACCCCCAGAGCTACTGGGCTGCAGAGACGGCTTGGTAGCTCGTATACTCTGCTCTTACAGAAGACCCAGTTTCAGTTCCCACTCCACAGTTCACACACCTGTAACTCCAACTCCAGGAGATCTGGCGCCCCCTGGTCTCTATGGGCACCTGCACGCATGAACACACACACATGAACACACACAAGCACATGTTACACATTTAAAAAAAAAAAAAATACTTTGAGGGGACTGGAAAGATGGTTCAGCGGGTAGGGTAAGAGGGGCACTGGCTGCTCTTCCAGAGGTCCTGAGTTCAATTTCCAGCACCTACATGGTGGCTCACAACCATCTGTAACTATAGTCCCTTGAGATCCAACCCCTCTTCTGACCTGCAAATGTAATGCAGACAAAACACCCATATACATAAAATAAATAAAAATTGTAATATATATATGTATATGATTTTTAATGTTTTTTAAAGGCCCAAGACTGTTTGTTCAGTACCATCACAAGCCAGACTACCACTGGGATTTGTCTCTTGACGGGGACTTGTTATGTTGAGTCTACAGACACTAGCAAAGGCGGAGAGAACGCATGAAGCCACACAGCTCTGTGGTCTTCGTCAGGGTGGTGACTATGGTCTCTTGGAGGCTAGGGGCTCTTCGGGACTACACAGCTCTTGAATACAGACCAGGGTTAGAATGCAGCTCAGTAGACCTTCTTCCTGCCACATCTGTCCCTACTGACATGGGAGTTGTTCTTTTGCAACTGTGGGAACCAACAGGAGGCTCCAGAGTCCAATGGCTATGGGGTCAGCTGCTCTGGGGAAGACACTTGGTCCCTCCACTGGCTAGCATATGACTTTAGGCAAATGCCTGCCATCTCTGGGCTTCGGCATCCTCTCCCTCCTAGCCAACACCCCTCCTCCTTCCATGCCATCTCCACCACACCCAGCAAGAACCAACAGCAGGCAAGGCTACCCCTACTCCCTTGCTGCCAGACTCTCCTTTGCACTCTGCTCTCCTGGAAGACTGGCTCCACATGACTGCCACTGGCCAGTCGCTGTTTGGTGTGACTGAACCAAAGCAAACCTGGCCTAAAAGGCCTCTCTCTTTCTCAGCTGCAGAAGCATTACCTCCAGACCCAGCCAAAGAGCCTGCTGATAAAAACCCAGGCCTGGAGACCCTGTGTCCGTGGGGACTGGTATGTCCTCCCAATGATGTGCTCAGCCTGACATATTTTACCTGCTGAGGAGTGGGGTCTACTACCCGACTGATGCACCAGATTTCCCGTGAGGTCTTGTGGGTGACACAGCACTAATGCTCACATCTGCTGCCCCCACCTTTCCCTGCAAACCTCCTTATCCCATTGCAAGCCAAGAACCCACTCCTTTTAAAAGGGCATTCCTAGTCAGCCACCTGCCTGTGATCCCAGACCTTGGGAGACGGAAGCAGGAAAATAAAGAGTTCAAAGTCATCCTCAGCTACATAGCAAGTTCAAGGCTAGCCTGGGCTACATGAGGCTTCTCTCACAAGTAACAACAAAAGTGCTTTAGTGTCTGCGGCACAAGTAATTTATGAGAGCCAAAGGGAGAAAGCTGACAAATGTCCACGGTGGCTAAATGATTAAAGAAAACAGTTCCTACGCACCATGGAATGGCCTTGAAAGGAAACGAAAATCTGACTCACGTTACAACATGGAGAACCCTGGGGACATTATGCTAACTGAAAGGAGCCACCACAAAAGACAATTACTTGAGGACAGCACTTGCATGTAGTGCCCAGAACACCTGAATTCTGAAACAGGAAATGGGGCCAGGGCTGCCAAGGACAGGCAAGAGGATGGTGATTAATGGGGCAGAGTTTCGGTTGGGAACAAGGACGGCATGGTGTTTGTGAGCGTACCTAATGCCCCTGAATGACGCACCCCAGGAACGATACCTCAGTCTCTCTGCTGCAATGTCAGCAAAGCTGGGGCCACAGGAGGATGGCCAGGACAGATTGATTGATTGATTGATTTTTTTGGGTGCAAGTGTGTGTGGTGAAGCTGTGTTTGTGTGTGGGAGTACGTGTGTGCAGGTGTGTAATCACACCTGTGGGAGCCCAGGGTTGGCGTTGGTGTCTTCTTCAATCTCCCTCCACCTTGTATGAGACAGGGTCTTTCCATATTAGTCCGGCTGGCCAGCTTGCTCTGGCAATCCCCTGTCTCTGTCTCCAGCTGGAATTACAAACAGGTCACCAAATGCAGCCAGCTTTTACCCACTCTCGAGGGATCCAAACTCTGGTCCCCACACCTGTGTGCAAGCACTTTCCAAGCCGAGTCGCTGCCCCCTGGCCCCAGACTGCTAAAGTTTCTGTTCCTCTCATTGCTAAGTTCAGTGACAGGCCAGGCCCTGAGCACATCTAGACGAACCTGTCTCCCCCACCCGGAAATCCTTCCAGCCCAGGTCTGCAGCAGTGGGTCAGCATCCAGAATGGGGCTGCCAATTCCCCGAAAGACTCAGACCAGAGAGAGCTGTTGGGCTGCCCTGAAGCTTCCAAGAGCTGCCTGCCTCTGTCTAACTCCCCTGGTTCCAGCCCCTGCTTTCTGTCTCCCTGGAAGTCTTTTTAGTGTCCTGGCTGTTTGCTTTGGAAAGGGAACCCAGGGCCCCAGAGAAGCTACACAGTGTTCTAACCACTGAGAACACACCCCAGGTCTGGAAAAATGGTGTTCCTTTTGGTGTGCAGGTTTTGGAGGGGAAGGGTTTAGAAGATCTCATGCTATCCTAATCTCCAGGATGGCCTTACACTTGAGGGAGATCCTCCTGCCTCAGGCTCCATCATGAGCTATCATGCCCAGTGGAAAGGCATTCAAGAACAAGGGCCATCTACATGGCTCATCAGTGAAAGCCCCTTGTCACCCAGTCTGAAAGTTGAGCTGCATCCCTGAGACACTCATGGAAAAGGATAGAAGCTGTTTCTGTAAGTTACCCTCTGATGACTACAAGCTCCTAGTGGCTCCTATCCCTCCAAAAAGTAAATACAGGTAAAAGGCAGAGAACAAACTTGCAAAAACAAACAAACAAAACCCACCATCCCTTTGAACTTCCAAGTTACAACATTGGAGGGGGGGAGGCTTCACACTAGTGTGTTCTTGCTCTGTGACCCCACCCCTGAAAGCCTAAGCGCTGACCCAGTCACAGACAGGTGACAGTCTCTATGAGCTGGCAGCCAGCAGAGTCTTGTGAGAGACATTACTCAGATGCAAGACAGAGCCAACTGCATTGTCTTGCTGTGAACCATCAGGGGAGCATGGGAGTTTCTCACTGGAAAGAGCCGGGGACTGGCCAGGGACATAGTATGAGGAACCCACAGCAACCTGGGATGAACACTGAGTCCCAGACATCAGCTCTCTGACAGTCACACACACTCTGCATCTGTCTCATCAACAGTCCATGGCTGATTGAATGTATGCCCATCCCAGGCTTTCCTCATGAGACGGTGTTCTAATACTTGTCACCTGCCATAGCTGTGATCAGAAACTCAAGGAGGCCCTTGAAAGGGGGCATCAACAATCCAGGTGTGGCTCTTGGCTCAGACCTGAAGGCTTCCTAGGCCCTGCTTACATTGTCATACTACACACACTTTGTTGTTGTTGTTTTCAAGACATGGCTTTTCTGTGTAGCCCCAGCGTATGGAACACGCTCTGGAGACCAGGCTGGCCTCGAACTCACAGAGATCCGCCTGCCTCTGCCTCCCGAGTGCTGGGAGTGCCAGCACTTGTGACTTCGCCACCACTGCTCCAGCCTTTCACACTATACACACTTACAAGTGACAAGATGGTCACTGTGAGGCCACCTCTGTAGGTTATGCTTGCCTCCGGAATGACTCCGAGGCTACCTTCATTTCTCTGTTCCCAGACCTCAGCTTTGCACTATCAGCCTTCTTGACTTGTGAAGGATGACACACTAAGGCCTGAAGTCCCAGCATTCAGGGAGAGGGAGGAGAAGGGGACCAGGAGTTCAAGGTCAGAAAGCTTGAGGCTAGCTTGAATTAATGAGACCTCTCACAAACAACAACAACAAACAAACACAACCACCCAGAACTTGAGACCTTGTGCAGAATGAAAAGACAAGGGTTGTTCCAAAGTTTAGAACTCTGACGTGCTGACAGCAACAGTGAAACATGCTTGAGGCCTTCTCAGGCAGGGCTGGAGCAGATGCATAGACGTCACCTACTTCCCAGGCCACCTGCCATGCTCTGTCCTTCTCCAATGGGGTATGGGCTGCCAAAGAGTAGCAGGCAAGTCCAGACTTGAACCTGGACCTCAGCATACTTTCAGAGCCCCTGGCATGTCTCAGATGGCTGTCCCCAGATCCTCTCAACATGGCCACCAACTTGACAAATGCCTGTGGAGGGTCTGCCTTACAGCCAGCAAAGGGGGAGACAGAGCTGTGCCCGGACACTCAGCGCCATCCTGTCTCCAGATCCCTGGCAGAGACCCTGCTTCCCTGCCTGGTCTCCCAGATTCTCACCTGTTCTCTCAAAGGTCCCTCTGATTCTTTAAAAACACAAATCTGGCCATATTGCTCGGGCCCTGCTAAGCCTGTCCCAGCTCCCCACTGACACAAATCTAGTTGTAGTGGAAGGCCGGGAGCCCCAGAAAGTCACAAGTGCATAAATCTACCCATCTAATTCTCTGTCTCTCCCCTAGGCCCTCCCCTTCCCATCTCAGGCTTTGGGCTGGGGCCCTCTTTGTGTCCTCCAGTTCCTGTCTTGGTTAGGAGGGACCAGATGCTAAGCTCTGGCCACCACCCCAGGCAAACCACTCTGACCCCTTA